ACCTTGTATCACTATTGCCATTCTTGTTCCTGGATTCTGCATGTAGTGAGCTTTTACCTCTCATCTGTACCTGTGCACATGTTCCAGTCTAGTCCACAGTGAAAGGCACTTCTGGGGTCATGTTAGTAGGGGGTGAGGAAGCCTCAAGGAACCAGAGGAATATTGTGTGTTTCATTTCATTGGTGCTATACTGCACCCTGGTTGACTCCTCTCTTCCTTGGTTCCCTTCTGTGAGGAGATGTCCCATTGTCTACAGATGGGTTTCGGATCTCTGCTCCGACCCCTCTTATTCTTAACAATATGTTTTTGTTTGTTTGTTTGTTTGTTTTGGGTCTTCTGATGTCTGTTGCTAGATCCTGTCAACACTTCATGATTGCAGAGGCTGGTGTGCTTCTTCCATGTGGGTTTATTGCTTTTCTGCTAGATGGCTGCTTGTTTAACTTCAAGCCTTTAAGACCCCAGATGCTATATATTTAGATAGCCAGGCACCATCCACTTTCTTCGTCACAGTTGCTTATGCACCTATTTTGTCTTCAGCGATTGTGCCGGGAGAGTGAGCATCACAGAATGCCAGGTTGGTAGAGCAAAGTGTTCTTGCATTGAGGGAGGGCATGAGCAGAGGTCTGAAGTCCATCCACTATCTCAGTCTATTGCCATATAAATATATGTACATAGGCCCAAACCTCTATTTTTGTGAAGTAATGTATTTACTATGTACACACCGATGTTTATACCTCTATCCTTAGCTTTGCTTCCTAGATCTTCCCTCTGTTTCCTTTTCCTTTCTGCCTGCCCCACTATTGTGCTTCTCCTTCTTCCACCTCTTAGTAATTCCTCTCAGGTAGATTGCTGTTGCACCAACACCCCCAAGATCTCTACGTCCTCGTTGTTGATTTCAATTCTGTAGCTGCTCCCCTTTGTGTGGCGTTGTTTGCTTTCCGTTCCCTACCCCTCCCTCCTTCTCCCGCCAGGTCCCTCTGGATCTGTAGGTCTCATTGCTTTTCTCCTTGAGCATGCAACAGTTCATTTGAAGTCTTCCTTATTCAGTATTCAGTTGTCACATGCTTATGAGGTGTTGGAAAGTACAGTGGCTTGGCTAGAGATCCATATTTGTACTCATTCCAAAAAAAGGTGACCCCATGTAGAAAATGTTCTACTCCACCTAGATGATCTTATTATATACTTAAACATTTTTTTGAAATGTTGCTGTAAAAATATTCTATTTGCTTATGTGCACGTTGTTCATATTTAAAATTGAGTACTGTTCAATTTCTCTCAAATTATTAAAGGGAAAAGACACCACACTATGAAAACATTAACATCAAGAAAGAGCAACAGCAAGATTGTTCCTCGTATTTCCCACGGTTTTATGATGTAATAATATCACAGGAAGAAAAAAAGGTAAGCTGAAAAATAGCTGCTTCATTGATTTTGTGATTGGTAAGGTCCCTGAGTCCTGTTACTTCCTCTTGCCTGATACCATGTACTCAATGAGTATATGTGGAAGGAGTCATACTTAATATTCTAGTCAAGTAGTCACTGTTTCTGCTTAAGCAATCTTGTATTCAAAGACTCACTACTCCTAAAGTGCCCTGGTGATGCTTTTGGGAAAGCAGTATAGTGGTACCTCAAAGCCAGCGGTTCAAATCTCCCAGCCACTTGCAGGAGAAAGATGTGGTTATCTGCTCTCAAAAAGATTTACGAATGTTCCGAACCTTTATGTGGGCTTACTATGAGCTGGAATAAACTTGTTGGAGTAAATTTTTGGGTGCTCCCAAGGTTTCTTATTTCAACAGTGGACAGCTGTATTTCTTAAAATGTACTTATACTGACATAAATTTGACTGCCCAGTTGTTATTTACATCTTTGCATGATTTGTCTCTCTTTAAATTTTTCCCAGTTAGGGTAACTATCTTTTAGGTATCTTTGACTTGTTCTCGTTATTTGACATCAAGATAAGTCATCTAGGTACCTTCTTCAGTTTGAAAATACCCCATTTTGGGGGCATGATACCTAGAATTTAGCATAATATTTTTTGAATATTCTTATAAGTACATTTTGAGTTTTCCAACTTCCTAGTTCTGGGTAGTGTATGTTTATACAGGTAGTCCTTGGGTTACAACATATGCACAACCTGTAGTTAAAAAAAAGTTCTTATAAAACCTATTATATTAAAAAGTTGAGGTTTGTACAGTAGTTTAAATAACAAACATACTTTGTGATACATACCCAAACATTGTTATTATCATTGTGTTGTTATATTAAAGATATTTTGGTATATATGGAAGTATTTCTTTAATGTTGTTTTATGCATTGAGAAGTGCACTAAAACAAATATTTGACTAACTGATGTTAGATAAGAATG